GCGATTCATGACTTAAGACATGTTCATCTCTCCTCCCGTCAAATTTTGGATGTGAGAGGGGGACGAAGCAGAGGGTTCAGTTATCCAAGGGGTGGTCAAGGCAGTCCGGACAAATTGCGAGCATAATTTCTTTTCCTTAAGGAGACGTGATTCCAACTCCAAAAGACACTCGGCCGTTTTCAAGGTGGGAACCCTGATTTGGAACAGTTCCTGACGCTTTTTCTCCGCAAACCAAAAGATCGGAAGAAAACGCAATCCTTCTGGTTCTAACTGCTCGAGCTGACCCGCCTGAAATCTGACATCGACGAGAGGCACAAAAAATTGAATTATCTTGCCTCTGTTCTCAGGATTCTCAACTATCAGCCGAACCATGACAACATCAGGTATCAGACGGAACGAAAATTTGTCAGCAATAGTCGTTCGAATCAGAACGGATGTGGCCGTAGGCATAGGTGTGTCAGGGGAGGGAAGACTTACCATGTTTGGTACCCCGTCAGTATCTGCTAAGGCCACTACCCCGATCGTGTTATGAATTGCCACGCAAAAGAAGGGAAGAATGCGATTCTCGATGTCACTCAGTTGACCTTTCGACAATGCCACCGGAGCCCGTCTCCTCGTGGTCTTCTGGCCTGGAGTACCTGTTGTTGAAGGTGGTTCCCCTTACCCTTGTAATGAGGTTGCAGACTGTTCAGCTTCAGGGACCCCATCCCCCGGCACAAAGCTGCCATCCTGGTCGAGTCTTCGCTGTTTCCCAGGTATACTGTTTCGACTTCTTGACCCACCACGTATCGCGTTGTTGCTTGGTCCTGCCGAAAGCATCGAGCCTTGTCCACCTACCGGAGCAGCCGAAGTCATTGGAGTAGTCGATGTAGGATGCGCTCTTGTGATTGCCGGAGAGGATTCCACGAATGTCATGTTGTAGCCTCCCAGATGGTTCTGAGCTGGCATGTACGATGTGAAGGCTGAGGGATGGGTTCCTCCATATTGCTGAAGCAATCCATATTGCATCGGCGACATACTCCATGGAGGAGGAACAGACATGTTCCATCCCTGGAAAGCTTGCGAGAGCCCCGCGCCGGGCAAATGGCTATAACTTGGACACGACACTGTAGCGGACCCACCAGGTGTGGTGCTCCGCTAGTGGTAGAGATGGAGATGGAGGAAGAAGGTGGGAGCCAGATGGCACAACGCAGCTCCCCACACAAGACTCCAATGCACGTACTCCAAAATGTGCAAGTCAAGAATGAGCTCGAAAACAGACAAAGGCTGGGGTATACCCCAGCGGACTAACGGGACTGGACTGGACTGGCTGGTACCGACAGAGGTACCGGCCTGGACTGGACTGCCCGAATAAAACACAGGCCTGTGAGAGCAGGCCAAGGGGCTGGTCTCACAGGCCCACCGAAGGTCCGCTACACGATCCTCGGCCTGTGATGGATCGCCTAGATACAAGCACGCTTCCGCCAAAAAGCGGAACTCTACCAAAGAAAAAGAAAACCTGAGTAGTCTAGGATGCGGAGCGAGCTCCATGCTGAGTCCATGCGATGCAACCTAGGCTAGAAAATGTCACAAAACAACAATGTCACAGCTAACAGCCAAGTAAAAGCAGAAGCAACTAACTAGCATACATGTCCTAGGAAAGCAGAAAGTAATGGCAACTAGATCCTAAAATGTTGGAGGCAGTAGCCTCAGTCTGAAAACAACTGACTAATGTATAGTCCTAAGAACAGCAAAAGCAGAACAACTAAATCCTAGAAATGTCAGAGGCAGTAGCCTCAGTCTGAGAGCAACAAGGCAACAACAAAGCAACCATTTGTCACAAGAGAAGTGTGTCGCAAACCACAGGGTGGGATGGTCTCTGAGGGTGGCGAATGCAGCCTAGGGGTCAAAAACTCCTAAGGGCATCCACACATAGATAACAGGGAGACACATGTCATCAGGCTCAATGAGGGTAGGGAACTGGGAGCGAACAGAACCAATGACCCTAACAGATAGACCATCAGGGCGGGTAATGCTCGACTAAGGGGTGACCGCTATGGAGGGTCGACCATGCAAGGGAACAAGGGAGTCTGGTATGCTGGGCGCACCTAGATGAAGCATGCGGGGCTGCCTAACTAGGGCGTGAGGGCCGGCGAAGGGTAGAAAGATGATGGGTAAGAGAATCATGCAAATGAATCCTAAAGTGAGGGAAGTCGGAGCTAGATCCGTAAGATGGGAAGCCAGGGCAACGCTACGGTCCCGATGCCTATGCTTATACCAAGGGAGAGCCCAACTCAGAGGGACCCGGCTAAAGGGAGACCATCATGCGACACAAGCAGGGTACTGTACAGGGTAGAGTGGTAAGAGAGTGGCGACGTCTGAAGTAGGCAGAGCTGATCGTGATGAAGTCCATGAAGCCGCCGATGACGTCCACGATGAGAAGTCCAGAATGTCGTCGAGGAAGAGYCGCAGCGTCGACGAGCTGAAGTAGCAAAACTGATGTGGATGGAGTACTGAGAAGTCAAAGACGTGGGAAGGTAAGTCAGAGTCAATCGTCGTATCGAGCAGGACGACGAYGAGTGCGMTGYGGACRCTCAGAARCATCCGGCTGCTGCTGAAGGTCTGCCTCAGATGGAGCAGGCTCRACTTCAGCGGTCTCCTYAGYYGGAGGASRAGKAGGAGGGTCAGTGGGCTGAGGARGAGCAGTGAACCCAGCMCGACGAGCACGGTCATAGGCACGCACCAACATGCGAGCGTGCTGCAAGTGCTCGAGGGGCTCCCAGGTAGCCTCCTCATCGGGGTAACCCTTCCAACGTACGAGATACTCGACGTGGGGAGGGTTGTCGTCGGTGACTCGGTAACCAATGATGTCTGAAACGAGGAACTCCTYGTGACCGTCYACCATGAAGGGTGGAGGGCGCTCGTATGGTCGTCCAGYGAAAYGCTCARACGKTCTGCAGTAAGGACGCAGTAACGCGAAGTGGTAGACATCGTGCACACGAGCCTGGCGTAGGTAGTCGGMMAACTTCACACAGAAGCTGACCGGGCTAGATGCCGTATCAGAACCGACGGCCTGGAGGATGCGGCATGGGCCAAAGAAGCGACGCCGAAACTTGCGAAGCGTGTCCGCTTYGAGCTGTRAGTGGCGGGCGTCGATAARCACATCATCACCGACTTTGAATGGATGATCCATCCTCGATCGGTTCGCACGTGCTGCCATGCGAGTCTGGGAAGCGGCTATGTGCTCATGTGCGGTCTTCATGATCGACGTCATGTGTGCAACCCAATCG